TCTATCCAAGTCAGCCCATTCTTCATCCTTCATCTTCTCGGGTTTCTGACCTGTCAAACATGGAAGAAGATCTTTCTGACATAGCAAGTCCTCGACTTGCATCTTCCACCATCCAAAATCTTGCCCATCAAACTTCTCTATCCTGATCTTTCCGTCCTCAGACATCATCTCTTCTGAGTATCCCAGATCTGACCAGAGAACACGTGAGAACAGATTGAGACAAACAACCAGAACTGACCTCGAAAATTGCAACAGCAAACTGAACAGCAAGGTTGTTCGGACTGCCCACAGATGACTATCTCGGTGGTCTTCTGATGTGTCGGCAGAAACCCTAGAGTCGCTAGGGTTGGCAGTGGAGGCAGATCTGTGTGTATGACCTAGTCTCTGATACCAGTTGTTAAGAACAAAAGCACACACACACGAACAGAAAACAAGAAAGCAATAAAAACACGAGATTTAACGTGGTTCGGTCTAATCTGACCTACATCCACAGGGGCAACTAGGGTTTGTTTTATTGAGTGATAATGATTACAAGTACAGGAGATCATATATATAGACAACTAATTAGGGTTTAACCCTTGCTGGACAAGTTATAGCAAACTGGGCTTAAAACCATTTGGGCCGGCCGAAACCCTAATCTGGTCTCCTAATTCTCAGTTGTCTATAAGTGGGCCACTTTGGGCCGATGACTACACATCACCAACAGTTAGGTGTCACGAAATTTAGTGTCAATGACGCCTAAAACAACAAACCCAGTAAAACCCCACAAAAAAGTGGGGTCTGGGGACAAACATTGTTATCAACTCGCCAACTAGTCGTCCGGTCGTTTTTCTGGGTGGCGACTTGCATCTTGACTAGCGACTTGGTGGACTAGTCATCCGGGCGAGCAAAGCGACGACTAGTCGTGCCTAAGCGACAACTAGCCACTTACAGAAACCTACCCAATTTTATCCAACCCGACCCGACCCAAATGTTATTAAATTTTTTTTTAAAAAAACTACTTAAAACATTGCCTCCCTCGGTTCTCAGCACAATCGCAGTCGACTTTAACCCTTCTTAAATCCCGACGTCTCTTTCATCATCATCTTCCACAATGGAAGAAAATAGTCATGGTGGTATAACGTTGGATGATTATATTTGGTGGTGTTGTTTCTTAAGATAGAAGGATATTCCTTTCTTATGCATAATGATATTTCGTTAAAGACAAATAAAGGCACACAAGGAAAAGAAGCCACTCATCGTCTCATCGACACTAGCCATTATACTTTATACCCCAAGCATTGGAAACACACCAACACAAACGCAAAAAGCACCCGCACAAAATTACCCCCATTGCCCTAGAAGACTACACAACTACTTCAGTCATCTTCAATAAGGTCTAAAACAAGTTTGCAATAGAAATCCATGCACACAAAAGTAAACAAGATGAGTGAAACTCATAAACCAATAAACCATCACCATCGTCGTCATCACAGGTTTATGAATTACAAGGAAAGTATCATGAATCATCAATGAGTTGAAATGATTGCTATATGAAACACAGAAGTACCTGAAAGCAAGGCAGAGTTTTTATATCCTCTTCAGTTACAAATAGCCATCTTGAAACATTCATTATTAAACAGCTGCATCAGTAAAGATTTTAAATTGCATAGACAAAAGATACTCTTTGCTGAGGGCATTGTATTTACCTTTTATATTTTTCATTTTCGCTTAAGCCCCTTAGCTTTTCCTGCATTTCTCTGAATTTACCAGAACCATCAACACAATGCGCAGCATCAATAGTCTCAAGTACATATCTAATAACCATTTACCTTATACGTTCATCCAGCCTTTGTTCTTCCATGGAAAGGTTATGAACTTCTGCCTGTAGAGTGAAGACAAAAGACGTAAGCTGAAAAGCAGCTTGACATACGAAAAAGAACATTTTAATGTTTATGTTTTGGTGTTTTACGGATGAATGCATGATTGCAACCATTCCATGTAGAGTTATTCTTTGTTGCGAGAACTAAAAAAGTTTGGATTCAGGCAGCATCCTTCCACATACCCGTAAAATTGAGGCATCAGAATCTACATCTTCAGGTCCAGAAGGTTCAACTCCCCTATGAAAGACCATAAGGCTTTGTCACATAACTTTAAATACACTTTTGTGGTAAAGATATACTGATTCAATAAAAAAACTGTCTTACTTCCATTTTATTATGTTCTTGAGCTTCTTTTCAATCAAACCAATTCCCTCAAGAACATTTGTTATATCATATATACGTCTCTTTTGCACCTGTATAATAAACTTCCAATTATAATTTAGTATGTGCATTGTCAATGTGACACAATACAGCAAAGAAAATACCTCCAAAGAGTCAGCAGCTTTGTTAAGATCAATAACACCATCTTCGGCATCCTTGATCAAGTTGATGAATTTTTTTGTTAGAAGTCCTGAAATAAATTCAAGTATGCTAGGGCCTCAAGTTTCCTTAAATATTTCTGTGCAATACAAGAATCCAAATGATAGAGTGAGGAAATCACCTAAGGAGTTGTCATAGCGGCAGTTTGCAGGAGTCAGAGGGGAAGGACAACCTGTAAATTTGCAAAATTGTTTTGTTAATAAGCTTTTATATCATAACAATATAAACTCAAAACATGTAAGAGCGTTTATGCATAGAAATAAAACTTGACATCTTGCAACAAATAAGATGACTCACCTGCATTGGACACGGGAGTTGCTGATCGAGACCTATAATTCTTTGTGGCTTTTGGCCTTGCGCAGGCTTTTTCATCTTTTACAGATACAGGTGTTCGGAGGGGGCTGTTGACCATATCAATGCACCTGGGACTAGAACTCCATTCACAAGACTCAGCTTCACAAGAACCCACTCTACCCTTTCGCTTGAATGCCTGACCAAAGCACAATGAAATTGCAATGTGAAAATGAGTGAGAAAAGAATAATTGAGAAATGTGAGGATAGGAATTTCCAGCCACAAACCGTAGTCATCAAGTGGAAGTCTAAATTTTCTCACCCACAACTGACAAGACTAAAGCTACACGTTGATGAGAGCAAACCCGTACTTTACATTGGAAAAATATCACTTAAAGAGTACCCCAATAACAGCTCAGACTACTTAGCAATGTACTTATTTGATGATAACATCAAATGATCAACTTAAAAATTAAGCATATCACCTTCAGTGCATAACACATCAATAAAGAATATTTTCTAATACAATGGAATTATAAGTTGTAATAGTCATACATTCATCCCTCAAGCTAGGCATTTTCAAATTTAAACCATTAAACTTCATTTGTTTTGTGCTTTGTGAGATGTTTTGGGTAGTAGATGCAGCACTGCATAAAGGGTCTAATGAAAACAGAGTCGCAATTTCTTTACATGGGTAAGGATCTGTACATCATGACCCCAACAACCAAATGGAGTTGGGATGATACTGATCTTTGTTGCTTTTGTTGTAGTGCTGAAGTGACAATGCCCTATGTTACCAGATTCAGCCTAGGGCCATGGGATATGTTATAGGAAACTGCATTGCAACTCCTAAGAAATTAAGGACAGAAAGTAGACGTGTATGGTTAAATAGACGAATTTCTATATGTTGCTTGATATATGTGGTAATAGGACCATAAGGAAGCTTCTAAGATTATTGATATTTGAAGTTCCCTTCAGTATCAAAAGCACTTATCTAATGAGAATAGTCGAAATCCCAAATTGATTTGAATTTCTTCAACTTCTTCACTAATTCTAAAAAACCTGAGCTGAAAAAAGACACTTCTCACACAACCACAAGTCCACAACATACTCTCACATTTGCTCACAAAACCCCGACTAAACTATTAAACTCCTCGCAAATATATAAACACAAGCACAAAATAAAAATTGAAAAAAAAAACAAGAGCTCACGGGGGACTTGAAAATAATAGCTTCCGCCCGGTGACCATTTTCCGTTGAGAGCCCAGCATCAGAGCCTGGAGTGGAGAACTGGTGATAGTCATCCGGAGGCACAAACGGCGGCTTCATAGAAGCGAAGGCCAGGTGGCGCCTGGTTGGCCTGGGGATCTGGGTTCCTGCTACTCCATTAGCAGCCGGCGGAGCAAGTGGCGGCGCCGCCACTGTGGCAGGAGTTCGCGAGCCGGACATGAGTGTAAACGATCCGAATCGAGAGATCGATTGCTTCCCGGAGATGGAGATTCAATCGGAAACGAAAAGAGGCTTTGGTGGCGCGGGGGAGAGGGTTTGAGGGTTTCGGCGTGGCATCGTGGGGGACGGTAAGAGAGAGCCAAAAAAAATCCAGCAAAGGGAGGGAATTTTAGTTCGGGATGAAATGGAGCCGTGGAGGGAAGCGCCATTGAAAGAAAAAAAAATAAATTAAGGCATTAGTCCTCCTACTATAATTAATTAACTATCACTTAAATTAAAATTACATTTTATATTCCTTTAATGCAATAACATTTTGAAATTTTTACAAGAAAGTATATTGGTATATCATACATGTTTATTTAAGTAATAATCAAAATTTGAAAATTTTAATTTTAAACTATTCTACCAACATGTAGTTCATCATTGCAAAATATTTTTTAGATTTACATAATAATTTTATTATTTAAATAATATATAAAGACTTCATTATTTTTTAAAAAATATTCTTGAAAGCTATTGACCTTTTATTTTATTATATTTCAAAGTCAAATTTGTAAGTTAATATATGTGCATCTATATTTAAATTGTATTTTTATTTCGAATTCTTTATCCATTTGCATTTTTAGTTTTATTAGTTTGAAGTAATATATAATTTATTCGATATATTACATGTATTTTTTTTGTCTTTGTTCTATTCTTTTTATAAAAATAAAGATTAAAAAGTTTTAAGGATAGTAAATGATCATTCAATACATGGATATCATTATTACATTGGGATAGAATAATATTTCATGGTCATGTAGACATTGGGTTGATCAATTAAAGAAACTCATTAAAGAAATTTTGATGGTACGGCTCATAATTCTATATTAAATATGGCATATACATTACTATGAAGTTTGATTAGCGGGTTATATTTTTGTCGCTAGTATCATAGCTAATTGAAATAAATTTCAATTGCATAACCAGGAGATAAAATTTAAATAAAAATAGTGATAGAAATAAAAATCTGTTTTTAAAAAAATAATTGAATTAGAGGGAGAAGAGTCCCCCACTATGATAAAACACAATAGAGGCGGATTTGTTCCCCTCTAAGTGCCTATTCTTTATGACTGTAAAAAAAGAGTTGGATGTTGGAAGAAACTAGAAGGAACTGGAAGAACTTGAAGGAACTGGAAAAAACTAGAAAGAACTGGAATAAACTGGAAGAAACTAGAAAAAATTAGAAAACCTAAAATAAAATTAAAAATATTTATTTTAAATTCTTGTTGTTATAAATTATTATTATTATTATTATTGTTATTATTATTATTATCATCATTATCATTATCATTATCATTATCATTATCATTATCATTATCATTATCATTATCATTATCATTATCATTATCATTATCATTATCATTATCATTATCATTATCATTATCATTATCATTATCATTATCATTATCATTATCATCATCATCATCATCATCATAATCATCATCATCATCGCGTTATCTTAGTGAATGTCTTTAAATATAAAAAAAAGTATTGTTATTTTTTAAATACAAAAAACTACTTTTACAAAAATAATTATAATATAAAGTTAGCATAAATATAAAAATATTAAATTTTAAAAAGGCTGTGAAGTTATATTGCACCTCAATTTATTTATGCAGTATTTATTATAAATAATATATTGGTAATTATAATTTATATATTAAAACATTTTGTTTTAAATATCATACATGTCACAAAATCAAACATTCAAACCTATTGTTTTTTCATGACTGACATTTTATTTTCATTGAATTCCTATTTTTGTTCCTATTTTTGAACAAAGAAGTAGAACTTTTTTGTTTACATTTTTTATGTTTTACTCATATTTTAGTCTTTTTCTCTAAGCTCTTTTGACTTACAATTTTTTTTATAAAAATTAGAAAAATGAGCAATTTTTAAGTAATAAAGGGAAAACTGAGATGTCTTATGAAAAGTTATATTAATAAAACATTCAATGTAACTATTTTATCCATAATTTTTTAGTATAATTTAACATATTGATGTTTTCCTGTTTTATCATGTAGACTAATATACAAAAAAATGTCTTATTCATATTAAAAAGTTGAAGAAAAAAATAATAAGTGTGAATCGTAAAAAGAGTGAGATGCAAAAAATAATTTATAAACTATAGTTATGAATATAACAGTTGTAATAATAATAATAATAATAATAATAATCACATTGAAATATATTATTTTTAGAGTAATTGGTTGAGGAGTAGAAAGAATTTGAAAAAAATGAGAAAAGTTGGAAGAAACTGGAAGGAACTGCAAGAACCAGGAAGAAACTAAAAGGAACTGGAAGAAACAAGAAGAAACTGGAAGGAACTGGAAGAAACTGGAAAGAATTGGAAGAAACTAGAAGGAACTGGAAGAAACTCGAAGGAACTGGAAGAAACTGGAAAAAACTGGAAGGAATTGGAAGAAACTGGAAATTAAAAGTTCAAGCCCTAAAGAACAGGCTCTAAGTATACAACAAAAAAAATTAAATAAAAATAACAATATTTCCCCATCTAATTGAAAATAAAGAAATAGGGAAACTTTTCTCCCCCTTTACTCCGTATTATTTTCTCTAATAACCTATTGTATCTATTTACTTAGGTCCCGTTCCGATCAACTTATTTTTTCTTATTCTTATTAAAATCAGATCAGATCAGATCACACCGGATCAGATCAGATCGAATTAGATCAGATCACAACAGATTAAATCCAATCAGAATCACATTAGATACAATCAGATCATATCAGATTAGATCTGATTAGAACTTATTAAAATCAGATCTCATCAAGAATTATTATTATTATTATTATTATTATTATTATTATTATTATTCTTTAAACTGAAAAAGAATAAACTTTAGAAACAGGTTAAATAGAAAACTGAGAAAGTAATCCTTAATTACTAGACGTCGGAAAAATTAGTTTTAAAATACATTGACAATGTCAATCTAATTCTACTTTTAAAATATATTTTTATTACTACTTGTAATTTGAGTTTCTAAAGTTTTGATCTTTTATAATGATGAGATCTTGTAATAAAAATACTATCTCTTCTATATATTAATTATCTAAATTTAATTAATTTTTAATGTGTATATAAATTAATTATTTATTTTAATGTATATATGAAGTAATTATTAAAATATTAAATTAATATTCTAATTTCACACAAAAATAATCATAAAATAAAAAACATTATTAGATTATAATATGAACTAGTATCACACCCGTGCGTTGCACGGGTCATAGTTATGGTACTAAATTAAGATCATTTTTAGGAATATAAATTGGTATATAATGGAATATAGAAATTTCATTATTTTAAAGTACAAAAGTAAAATGATTTACAAATTTCGAAAGACTTATTTATAAACTACATCACTCGTATAATTCGTGTGAGCATTTACTTCGTTGTATATCAGAATCTTCAAGTCATTGTAATTTATTACTCTTGAAACTGCAACAAACACTTGCCCATGACTAAATACCGGTTTCCGTAATAACAATAATTCAACATGTTTCAGATATTGTCCCTGACAATAATTCAATAATTTGACTTATTTAAATAATAATTCAACATATTAATGTATCTATTTCGGAATTTGTATTTTTTAGTTTTATTTTCGTATTTAAATGGTACCATTTACTTACCCTATGGTATTTATTTTCTATTTTATTTTAGATCACTTACGATTTTATACTTATCCATGCTTATAAATTATAGAATTAATAGTATTAATTTTAGAATACTTACCATTGTTACATGTTTCCATGCTTATAGTATTAATACTATTAATTTATAATTTTTTTATTTTTGCATTTAAATGGTA